GGTTGCGCAAAATGCAACGTGGTAGGTAGGCTTTGCTGCTTTGACAGATGCAGGATAGCCATTTCCTCCAGTTTCCATTCATTATGCTAAGTTAAGCTAATCATCTCCTGGCAGATATGTAAATGGTATCACACTTCTCATCAAACTCTTGGCACGAAAGCAAAGCACATTTACCAAAAAGTCACAATCCTCAACACGGATCTGTGTGTATTTTTTGCATTTTTTGCTTATCTGAGGGAAACACGCTTAAATATTGAGAATCAGTGGTAATTTGTCTCCTTTTCACAAACACAAACATACCCACATGAACACCCACACACACAGCTATGGTGCCCTTCTCTTTTGACCTTCTCTATGCAAAACTCTAACTTGCTTTCCCACTGTGTGTACAGCTGACAGCTCTTGCTCACAGTGATTATCTGTCCTTGACTACCTTCTCAATCCCTCTTAGTATGAAATGATCCCCTCAATCACCCCAGCACACACACACAGATACACACACACAGTCACACACACACCTGTCTTAACCTTGTTTATACGAATCTAATCCTCCTTGTCTTTGTGTCTAACAGAATTTCAAGAATCACTATGTATTTATTGGAACTTCTAGAGCCTTTATTTGTGTGTGTGTGTGTGTGTGTGTGTGTGTGTGTGTGTGTGTGTGTGTGTGTGTGTGTGTGTGTGTGTGTGTGTGCTCCTGCATGTCTATTTTCATAACATTGTACACCCTCTGCTGCCCCATGTCACTGTCTCCCTCTCTGCTTGCTTCATGCAGGGAGAATGTGCGGGATAGCTGCTGGGATATCTGCAGCTTTATTAGATGCAATGTCAGAAAAGTCCACACTAGCCTAATTCCTAAGCTGATGACAGGACACTTGATCATCATTGTCACTGTCAAATGGGAATTTTATGAGTCATAGGCCTGGGAATGAACATTTTGGAGATCATGGGTAATGGCTTTGTGATGTTGTGGTATGTTCAATCCTTTGATGCAGTTAAAGATTACGAGTATGGCTTCTTAATGAGGGCTGTGCAATGTCATTGGTTACAACAAAGCACATATCTGTTTATATTAAAGATTGGCTTATTTATAGCCTAAACTCAAAAATGGCAAAAGTAATTAGCTCTTGACATTCCCACACATGCATTAAAGTTCAGTCTCTCATGTTCTGAAAATCACCTGAATATTGATGCGAACATTGTTAGGAACAACTGAACAACAGAAGAGTGCTTAAAAAAATGATAAATCAGCTATATATGGCACACATCACCTCAGCTGATTGATGTGTTATAAGCCCATCAAATTGCCATGATTAGTTGTTATAGCGCCACAATAACCAGTAGGTATCCCAATCTTGCTTGGGTTATCATCTGTTGTAATACGTAATAAATAGAGAGCAACACGCATTATGTGTTATTAGAAAGAGACAGGCAATCTTGGCAAGCGGATACAAATCCTGCACCTTCTTGCTGTAAGACGACAGAGCTAATCACTACACCACTATCCTAGTCGCCGAGACTGTTTGAAGACTTTTACACTTTTTCAGCATTGAATGATGTGATACAGATTACTGGTAGGCCGTGCATGGCCGATAACAGGCAGATTATATTCAAAACTTGTGGGTTGCCCAACATGAAAACAGATAAAGTTAGCAACTAGCTGGTGAATGCAGAGAAGAACCAGATTTCTCACTCAGGTGGTAATAGAAACCAAAACAGAGCTAAAAGGAGAGCAAGTTTTATTGTTTCATTTTTGGTGGTTACATAAATCCAAATTGATGCTAATTTTAAGTTTATAAGTGTCTGTGTGGGTTTCTTTCAAAATGTCTTTTCATTTTTAGGACGTTTGAACGTTTGATGGCTGTGGCTTAACTGTTTAGGGAAGGCTGGATGACAAGCAGCAGGTTCAACAACTGATCCCATCCATTATGCAGCAAATGCATTTTTTTGCTGTTAACATATACTGGAAGCAAATATTTTAAGAGACTATAAGATCAGAATTTAATGCTCCACAGATCAACCCAGACTCAATATATTCTAGTCAGTATTAGGCACATATTATTAAACAAAACACCAGAAGCAACAGCTGGGAATTTAAAAGTTCTTTATGTTAACATTAATTTGTGCCAGACTTTGCGTCATCATGTATAATGGTACAAAGTCTTGTACAATGCCTAAAGTGGATTAAGGCTAAAATAGGACTGGATGTGGTATTAAAAAGAAAAAAAAATCTTGTCGCGTACATCCATCGCTGGTCGAGAGGGTTTGTGCACCTGCCCGACTTCATTTACAGGTGTCGAGTGATTCTCTCACTGGACGGTCTCAGGGACTGACCAAGTGACCTTAACCTTCCACACCCCAGTGCCACATAGACACCCGCACACACACAGATACACACACGTGCCTATTCCCATGGGCTTGCTCAGACTGGCACACAAAGACCAGCATTATTCTTCCATATCCCTTATACCAAACTGATGGGACTAAAGGAAGCAAGGTGGCAAATTTCATAATTTTTCATAACATTGTATCTGAATGTTTTTGCAACACTCCCCCCCCCTTTTTTTTTTTTTTTTTTTGCAAAATCATGGAAGAGAGACACATGAAATTACATTTCATAGTCTGACAAAGTTTAACAAAGGCGTTACTATGCCGCTGCTCAAAGACACACCAGTTTACAAAAAGGAAGGCAAGAAGACACAAATGTGTGTATTAGAGTCACATGTTCCACATTAACGCATCTGTGGCAAAGTTTGGATCCAGGAGTCTGCCTCGGTGGAGGTGAAAGGGTTTAAAACAATGCATCAATCTCTGTTATGTCTCACCGTCCTGGTCCTGAGTTAGTACAGACAGGCAAACAGGGAAGTATTGCTATAAAGAACTAGTCCACACTGTGTTTGTATTGCTTTCCTCAGCACAGTGACTGATGAAAGACCAGAAGCCACAGGGAGGAAAAGCACTGGACTCATGGATACTGTTCCCCTAAACATCAACACACTAGTTAGACAAATGAAGCTTCAGCTGCCCTTTCCACTGCTCTGCTCTGGTCTCCAGAGGCTGTAGTTCACTAAACGTAGAGGTAAATCACAAAGTCCATCCATTTAACAGAATTTATCACCAAAATGTCTAAACCTGCATTGTTTGCGTCTGCGTGCTTAGGTCGTCCCGACATATGTATCACTGACTGATAGTGTATTTATATTTCCTTGATGTTAAATAATTTGAGGCCAAAACAAGATTTGAATATTATTCTTGGGTTACATGTCTATTTTAAACTTTGCTGTTATTCTCTTGAATAATCTTCTACATTGTATAAATAGAAAAAACACAGTGACTCATCAAACAAAGGTCAAGTGTAAAGTTCCCCATAACCTACTGATCCCCGTGCTTTTCTGTGCAGAATCTGTCCCACAAGCTTTTATGGAACTCCCTCTAGAGGCAATACAGTGAGGTGCTACTGCTTTTTGGGGATTTTCTACCTCCCTGCTGAACTATCCCTCCCTGTCGCAAAAAAAAAAGAAAGAAAAGAAAAAGAAAAAGGTTGCATTTATCAAGAACGTTATGAGACCATTTTGCACCACTTGCCTCATTTAAGCAATCTCACAACTCTTCAAATGCATGAAATAACAGTTTTTGGCAGATACGTACTCAGCAGACTTCAGTACGACTGGAGTGACTTTAAAATGTCACTTCAGTGGGAGAAAAACTGGTTTGATATGAATTTGTCCAAAGAATGTCAGCCAAAGCAAAAACATCTTCAAAAACATCGGCACTAATGTTTTATTATATTATTTAGGATGGGAAATACCTCCTTTATGAGATGTAGAAATTACCCATCGATTCATTCATCCGTCTATCATTTTCTTCTGCTTATCAAACAGAAATTAATTTGCACAAAAGGTTTAGCAAAACTCAAGTATACATCTGATGACATCTTTTAACAACTGAGTAATGATCATCCAAAGCTTCATAGCAAAACCAAATAGGAATCACAGAGAAGCAACAGCTCACGTTACTAAACCCTCGCTGAAAAACAAGGTTCTCTCTCTCTCTCTCTCTCTCTCTCTCTCTCTCTCTCTCTCTCTCTCTCTCTCTCTCTGAACTCCAAAGTTTATTTAGAGGGCATATCCCAAGCTTCGGAGAGAGAGAGAGATCGACAGGGAGGGAGAGAGTGAGAGAGAGATAGCTGAAGTCATCAGCGGGCTGAGGGAAGTGAATGGGTCCTGCACGCAAAGCAGAAAAGCGCTGAAACTGTGGAGATTTACTTTGGTTCAGTTGTAGCTCAGCGAGAAGGAGGAGGTGTGCGCTTGGTGGTTAGAGCAACGCGAGCTGTTTAACGTAAAAACTTAATTTGTCTTTTCTGTTGTTGGTCCTGTAGTGGCTTTTACGTCAGCTGATGGTCAGATGAAGCCGAGACCCTCGGCATATTAGCGCAGTCTGTACACCGGGACGCACGGCGCATCTCTTCTGAGAAAGACTTGGAGAGGGAGGGAAAGGTTCATTTGGAGTTCTACAAATGGATTTAATCCCCCAAACTTCTCGAGAGTCACGATAATGCTTCATTAATCATTCTATTTTTTCTTTGCGACCTTCACTGATGTTTGATTCTACTTTTCTCCTCCTCGCAACGGATGAAAATCCATCTTTTTGGCGTGGTTGTTTGGTTTTTGTTTGGGGGTTTTTTGTTGGGGGGGATGTTCTTTATAACTACAAGGATAACGGATCCCTAACTCAGTCTGGCTTTCTTGGCACATATGTGGACCTTATCCAGGATGTTACAGTCTAAGCGGCCCAGGCATCATTGGGCCACTGTACATTACCATCACCACATATCACCACATTGCTGGGGGTCCCGCTGTGTCTAGGAATTACCTGCAATCCCGCCTCTGTCTTCGTCTGGGGACAGAAAACGGAATCTTATTAATAAGTGTTTTGGCGAACATTGACATTGGCTTTACGAGTCTCACCTCTGGGCTACTATGCAATTACAACTCTCCTTTGTTTTGATCATCTTGCACTGCATGGATTACATTGGTTGTCAGCAGCACAGCAGCTCCAGGCACCGGCAACATAAACGTGAGTAAAGTGCTGTTCCGCGCCACAAAGTCCTATTATTAGGCTTGTATATTATTTCTTCTAGTTTTTAATTGATATTCACTTAATTTCATCTTATGCTCAACAATATTTATTAACCGATTTCAGTCGAAGTTACGAAGATCTGCATCGTACATTCTGTTGCCAATATTTAGTCTTTGGTCAGATTTCTTAATCGGTTACATTAATTTTGCGCCGTGTAATAAATTGACAGATATGAAAGTAAACAAACAATCCTCCTGATGCGCTTTTAAAGTGATCACCAAATCAAAACATCATCAAATAAAAGTTCAGGTGACATTTAATTTTTCTGCATATGAAACAGGATTAAAAGCAATAATTAACAAATAAATAAATAGATAAAAACAAAATACTTAAAACAACAACAACACATTACCATCACCCATACTCCCAACTCTAATTTCTGCAATGGAGTTTAATAATTATGTATGTTTGCTTAATTTGGAAAACTGGTATTTCCTTTTTTTTATTTTATTTTTTTATTTTTTTTAAATGTATATATTTTGCCCGTGCCTAGACTGGGTGAGCGAATCAAGCTCTCTATTAAAACCCTTTTCCTTAATTGGATTCATTCACCTGAAGGCTGCAGCAGCCTCCCTGTGCGCTTGGTCTCGTGGTTCCCGTCGCTCTCTAGCGGTCAGCGGAGCAGACTTCATGCGCGGAGTTTGTTGTTTGTTTGGTTTCAGGGTTGGTGAATAATAAAGCTTTAGCTCATATACTTAGTGAGATTTACGTGAATTTGCTGCCTTATACTATAAAGTATTAAAAAAACATTTTTTGGAGATTTTTTTTAATCTGTTGGTGCACATCAGCAGGGTACATTCTGATGGATTCATGTTCTGGTGAATATGAATCCAAAATGTAACTCTTGTAATTGTGCAAAATGTTAGTCAATGCAAAACTGACTCCAGCAAACAGCAGAGAAGTTCCACACTGACTGTGAAGGTATTTCGGCTCTCATATATCTCTCTGGGGTCCAACAATATGTCTCCTCTCTTGGGCAATGAGCAGCTTTTTTCCATGACACTATGAAATAATTATCAATAAAGTATTTTTTCTGTTCTTCCTACGCACACTTTATCATTGAGGGTCTCCAGATGTGCTCTGTGACTAACTCCGTTTGAGATGAGCGGTGATAACTGGAATATTCCATGTATCGCTTGCCAGTATGGTCAAAACTGTCTGTGATCTACAACAATGGACCTTCGGAGTGATGTTTTTATCCCTGCCACCTGGGGCTAAAAGATCTCACTACACCTGTTTCTCTTTACATTGGATTGCAGAGCTCAGACCTGCACACAGGACCAGATAGATGTTGAATCTATCGGGCATGTAATGAGTTGATTATTTTCCCTTAAACGTGTGTTTGTACCACACAAATGTAGACATCAGTGTTTGCTTTAAACCCCCCGCATATTTTCACTTTCTGTGTTTATTTCCCTCTAAACAATATTAAAGAGCCTCTCAGCAGAGTGTGAAAGAGATGAAACGAGAACGTCAACAACTTCTGTGCAGGACGATACACTAAAATATGTTGTTTTACTCAAAAAGATTTAAAAAAAATGTAACCTCAGCATATATTGACATACTGACCCAATGTTAATTGGTTTTTGTGTTAAGGAGTAGGTTAATCTTCTTTCTTACAGACTGACTCAGTAACCATCAATTGATAGGCCCTTCTATGAATCCCAACTTCCTCTAAGAAAGCAGATATTAGGGAGGATGGAGGGTTTAGTTGGTGAAAGGGTGAATGAGTACAGACATTAGAGGGAAAGCAGGGGGTAAGAGTGAGTGGGGGTGGGTCAATGACCATTCAGTTAGCAGGTCCAAATCACCACACAGAGACAGAACCCAAGCTGTGAGCTTCCTGTCTGTGATGATTCACCCAGAAACAAAGGGGGCGGGTTAATAGTGGGAATTACATTAATATTATAGTTAATGAAGACGTTTCAGCTTCATGGAGGATGCTTTGATTTATGGCTAACAACAGAGTTTGTGCACAGTAAAGCCTGGGTGAATTGAGAGGCATGAAGGTAAGCATGTAACACAATGGATGAAATGAAGTGGGGGGGTTGCAAAAAAAAAGAAAAATAAAATGTGTATGTGTGCAAATGTGTTTATTATATGTGTAACTCTTGTTGTTATGCAAGTTACCACTGTCCAACTGAGGCTTCGTTGGTGCAAAAGCAAGGGGAAGGCCAAATTCCTGTGTTTTAAGGCTTCTGTGAATCAGGGCAACTTGGCAGGAACACATGTGGGCAAATGGACAGCAGTTGTAAAGATAGTCAGGATATTTCAAACAAAGTATCCATGATCTATGGTAAACTGACAGCTAAACCCTGAGTTGAAAATGCTGGCCAATGAAAGCCAGTGGCATGCAATGCCAAGACTGGGGAGGAAAACCAATTCCTGACGTTCTTGCAGGGGTTGCTTTTAATTTACCTGACATATGTGATTATGGCAACACCTCTCAAACAGAAGCAGCAGCGCAGGTGAATATAATAGTATATAAAACGTGGGAAATCTCTCAAAGACTCTTATTGCCTATATACTCACACAGGAGTCACTCCTTGTATGGATTAATATGTTTCTGTCACATAGCTGTCCATGCGAGGGTTTCTCAAAACCCTCCATTATGCCATTATTTAAGGAAGTGTGTTAACCAATGTCTTCATGGAGACAGCAACACTGTAGGTGCCTGGGACCTGATGTGCATGTCAGGTTGTATTCAGTAAATCACCTCTGTGGTTGTCCACTTTATCGCTGTTCATTGTGCTCCAATTTAAATCAGACACCAAAGAGCAAATATTATACAAGACTGTTATGTTTTTTCAAAGAAGTCATATTTCTACAATTTGTCACTATTAGCCTTTGTTATGATTCGTTTACTTAAAATACTATCACACTGATGCAAACATGTTGGAATTTGAGAGACATTAAACATGCCGGGGACAAAGTTGCAACATACAGTTAAAATGATTAAAACCTACAACCTGTACTTTCATCCATGGAAGACAAAGTGTGGTGAATCATCTCAAACTGGTATATAGTTGGGGAGGACAACTCTACTCTTGAATATATATCAACATAAACTAAACACTTCAGTACTTATGCACATAAACAGAGTTGCAAATATGGAATAAATTGCTGTCATTGGCACTGGGCTTTAAGTTAATGTGACATTAAGTGGTTTGTCTTCTGTTATGCAACCCTTGTAAATATATTTAATTCCTGGTGGAGCTAAATTTGCCTTTGGCCTCACACTTAAAGATGTGGATTTTAACCTTTTCTCCATTTTCATTTCATTCCCTGTTTTATTACCATCACTGCAAGATTTTAAAGCTATCGTAGACAGAAACTTGAGAATGCAAAACTCAGATATCAAGTGCTTGTTGTGAGTTTTGCCTCAATTATAAAAAGATATAAAAGGTTCTGTAACAAAAGCAACACTCTTGTAGTTTTGAAAAGCACTGGTATTCTCTCTCTTTTTGCCTTTTTATACAGTACAAAAAGGTGGAACATTGAAGGAATGAGTTATACATGCACTCAGAACTTTGAGTTGCCCTAAAATATCTGGAAAAATATGTCATATTTATTCATAAATATTCCTTTTTTATAAGAATCCTAATACTTTTTGTGTGTGAGATCTATATCTAATGTGAAACCCATCCACCCTCTCCTCTCGACAGCGATCTCTGGTGTGAGCTCAGGGTGCCAGCAGGGTGGCTGTCTGACCTGCTCTGACTACAATGGCTGTCTTTCCTGCAAGCCGCGCTTCTTCATGCATTTGGAGAGGATTGGGATGAAGCAGATCGGGGTGTGCATGACTTCCTGTCCGCCAGGCTTTTATGGCACACGCTCTCCTGAAAGAAACACCTGTACAAGTGAGTCAAATGAACTGCAAATATAAAAATTAAAAAAGAATTTTTATGGATATGTTAACTGACTGCATGATTCCCATAAAAAAAGAACATCCAAATTTAAACGAGCACAAGCACTGAAATATTCAGGCTAAATATGGTGTCTTTAAAAGCGTAACTTGACTTTGTGTGTATCATTAAATCATATGTCCTGCCTAGTGAAGTGTAGTATGGCATTAAGTAGAGGCCTACATGTTCCTGAACAAGTGAAAAACATGAGACTGACCCTGTTAGCATGTTTCCTTTTGGTGACATTATATGAAATCAAGAGTTGCTTTGTTTAAAATCATTTATCATGATCCAGCCTGTAAAACATTAATTTCCCCGCAGTGTCCCATATTGTTTTTCCAGCCTGACACACACACACACACACACACACACACACACACACACACACACACACACACACACACACAGTGACACCCTGTATATTTAACGTGCAGGACACACACGATAACTTGTATGGTTTAAATAAACGCTGGCGGTGGGTCTGTGTTTCTCCGTCAGAGTGCAGGTCGGAGTGCGACTCCTGCTTCAACAAGAACTTCTGCACGCACTGCCGAGCAGGATTCTACCTTCACCTGGGCAAGTGCCAGGAGAACTGCCCCGAGGGCATGGTCCGCAGCGACACACAGAGGGAGTGTATTCTCAGTGAGTACTCAGAGTTTACATTAATCAGGCATTGGGATTTTTTTTTAAGTTCACCTTTTATTTCATTTATTTGGGTTGCAGAACTAGTTTATATAGAACTACATTAAACATATTACATGCCAGATTACATTTTGTCTGTGCAGAGTGTCCTGCAGACTGTGAGTCATGTGTGAGCAGCGACATGTGTAAGCAGTGCCGGCCGGGCCTATACCAGCTCAGTGGCATGTGTCACCATGTCTGTCCAGAGGACTATGAGCCCAATGACAAACTCATGGAGTGCATACCGCAAGGTCAGTCCAGTGTGAGTGTGGATATGTTAAAGAAAAATGTCTGGTAAATAACCATTTTGAAAAAGCGAGTAACCCCATGTCAAAATTTTGCAAAATATTTATTATCCTTATATTTCCCCTTCTGCCAATTTCCTCCTGTCAGTGCACTGTGAGGTGGGTGAATGGAGCGAGTGGAGCCCCTGCTCGAAATCTGGTAGAACCTGTGGCTTCAAGCGGGGCCAGGAGACCCGCACAAGGCAGGTCATGCAGTACCCGTCGTCCTTTGGCAAACCCTGCCCTGAGGTCTCTGAGATCAGAGAGTGCATGGTCAGGAGGAGGAAATGTCCAGGTAAAGAAAAAAAAACATCATTTCTGAGAAGATGCTGTGACAGAGTAGCACTGCTTTTGTGCCCAACTTAAATCCCACGTGATGCGACATAAAAACACACAACCCTCCCCCCCAGAAGGAATTATCAAATAAGATGCTTACTATATATTACACTGTCTTTGGTAATTGCTGCTGACCCATCACACTTACTGCCAACATTGTATTTGAGCTACATGGCACGGTTTCAATTCTCTATGAATTCCAGACCACACTGCTTAAGCTTGAACAACCAGAGCTAGCCGTTCTTCCGCTCAGGACTACGACTGTTTACTCAGAGGACTGTCATTGTCGCTAGAGTGAGGACAGTGGGGAGAACACATGTGTGATGTTGCAATGGCTATGCTGCGTGTTTTCCCACGAGAGCTCTTTGGATTTTAAACAGTAAAACCGCTTTCTGTGCTCCTAGTAAACAGGGGATAGCGTGATTATTTCTAATGAATAGAGTGCAAACTGGTTTCAGACGGGCTCGTCCCCTTTTAAACCCGAAGCTGTAGTGCATTTACAATCATCTTGTGTTGTGCGTACTGAGCGTGTGGTTGCTGAGGTGGTTGGTGGCTACGGCTGGTTGTTTTTTCGCCTGGGCTCTGTAGTGTTAAATGACAGATTGCAGACAGGGTAGGAGGCTGAGATCCAGCCCCCTGGGGCCTCACACTTACAGAACAAACACTGTGTGTGTGTGTGTGTGTGTGTGTGTGTGTGTGTGTGTGTGTGTGTGTGTGTGTGCGTGTGTGTGTGATGCAGCAGAAAAGCAGTTGACTCTGGAGCAGAAACAGCCAGCTCAACATCAACATCCTCCCCCTGGGAGGCACGCGGCGACCA